TACTCGTGAGTTCGTCCTCAAGCCTCAGTTTTCCCTGTGTAAATCATCAGCCTTGCACAGCTGGAGCAAAGGGGTACAGTGTCACGGGGAGCCTTGTTCAGACGGAGTGCGGGTGCTGGGGTTGGCGAGGATGGTGGTCGTGAGGGGGCCGGAGTGATGCTGGTGGTGGCGGCGGATACTGACGGACGGTGATGAGAACAGCGGTGATGGCGGCGCTGGTGACGGTGGGGATAATGGCGAGGACAGTGGTGGAGCTGGTGATCATGTCCATGCTGGTGACGACAGGGGCGGAAGTAGTGGTGATGGTGAGGCAATGCTGGCCATGGCGGTGATGGCGGTGAGGGTGAACCTGTACCTCATACCTATTGATCAGTCTGGAAGGTCTTCCCTTTCCCCCGTGACATAGACACACACACACCCCTACATTACACATGGAACCAGCGTAGGGGCGACCACTCATTCATGTTTTCTTCTGGATCCTACGCCTGGCTCTCCTGGGATGTGTAGCAGGCACAGAACTAGACGGCAGTGACAATGGGGAGGCTGAAAACAAAGAAAGGAGGAGGTGGAAAAGGAGAAGAGGACGGGATGAAGAAGGAGAGAAAGGGAGAAGCAGATGGGGAGGGAATAAGGATGTACGGAGGAAGGGAAGGGGAGGTCCCTCATTTCCTGTTTACTTACGGTGTGCCAGACACAGACTTCAGCACTTCTCACAGAAGATACATTTACATACGTGGACTTATCTACACACACATGCATGCGTGCACACGTGCACATACACACGTGCACACACACATATTCATTTAATTATCATAACAGGTCTGTTTATGCCTCAGAGAACTCCAGTGAATGGACAGCCACCAAAACTGAACGAACGGGGCAAAGTCGCCTGAGATCACACAGTTGAGTGGAAACTGACCACTACCAGCGGAGTGTCAGCCCTTGCTGTGGGATGGCACCTGAGTCCCTGGAGGTCCCTCTCGGAGTAGTAGGAAGTGGTGACAGGAGAGGGGTTGAGGAAGTGGCAGGTAGGTTGGCAGGAAGAGCCTTGAGAGGCCACTCCAGGGTGACCAGTAGGAAGTGAGGTGATAAGCAGACCTGAGAGATAAGGAGGCTGTCACTCAAAGGCCAGTGGGAGGGGTTTAGTAAAGAGAGGAGCCTAAGTCCTGCCTCCAGCACTCTGGGGCTGGGCTCAGCCCCATGAGAGAGCCTCAGTGGCCAGGAAGTGGGGTGGGGGTGGGGGGTGGAATCTGTGTTCACTAGTCTTCCCCCTTATCACCACCTGGCCCTGACCTACAGGCTGGCGCGCAAGGATGTCTTCCCTCTTAGTTAGCGTCCCCAAGGGCTCTCACAGGCATGCCCAGAGATGAACTCTACTCCCAATCCGTGGAGCAGACACTCAGGAGTAACCATCACCAGGTGTGGACTCCAAGGACAGATATGTGGCATCACTGCCTGCTGCTTGGGCAGCTTTCCCATAAACTTGAAATCGTAGCCCAGGCTGGCTCACAAACACAAAGATCAGCCTGCTTCTCCTGGTATTAAAAGTGTGCACCACCATGCCTGGTTTTTCTGTGTTTGTGTGTTTTGTTTTTTTTTTTTCATCCCAGCATTGAGAGGCAGAGGGAGGTAGTGACCACAGGTTTGAGGTTAGACTATTCTACATAGTATGTTCCAGGCCAGCCAGGGCTGCCATAGGGTGACCCTGCCTCAAAACAAAACAAGAATTAAATAATGGTAATAATGGTGGTGATGGTGAGGGCATGCTAATAGAAACACATAGGGTGAGAGACAGAAAGAGGGGGAGGAAAGGGGAAGGAGAGAAATGAAGGAGGAGAAAGAGGGGAGGAAGAAAAAGAAGGAAGGAGGAAGATTTAAAAAGGGAAGAAGGGAGGGAGATGAAAGAAAGGAGATAAGGGAGGGAGGGAAGGTAGAGCGCAGAGGAAGGGGCTGCCAGGCCTCCTCTTTCTTCTTGAAATCACTCACTGTCCTCCTGATTGCAGCCTTTACTTCCAAAGCAGGCACTGTCAGCTGGCAGACCAAACCTGTGGGTAGATTTGCTTGGCCCTCGTGCTTTTAACGATGGCCCCATGACCTAAATCCACCCCTCTTCTTTCCCAGGTAGCCCTGTTTGCTAGGCCTGCCCACTTCTCTCTGAAGTATAGAACCTCTACAGAGGTGTTCTCAGGGGCCCTTCCCCTCAGGTGCCTGCTTTGTCAGGGTGTCTGGTCCCTTCTCCATCGGACCCACTCATACGACCTTCCTTTTCTACTCCAAGCTTTCCTAATTTCATCTGGGGATTTCCACAGTGGCATCCTGTCTGGCCACACATCCCTCAGTTGACTGAAGCTCACCTATGATGTTGGTAGTTAGTCTGATTTTTCTATGGGATGCTGCTATCCAATTATTAAAAAATGTGTATGGGGGGCTAGAGAGATGGCTCAGCAGTTGAGAGCACTGGCTGCTCTTCCAGAGGTCCTGAGTTCAGTTCCCAGCCCCCACATGGTGGCTCACAACCATCTGTAATAAGATCTGATGCTTTCTTCTGGTGAGCAGGCATACATGCAGGTAGAACACTCTATATATAATAAGTAAATAAATCTTTTTCTAAAAAAGAAAAGGAATGTATCTGTGCTGGCTAGTTTTTATATCAGTTTGACACAGGCTAGAGCCATTTGAAAGATGGAAACCTCAATTGAGAAAATCCTCCATAATATGGAGTCCTGTAGAGCATTTTCCTAAATAGTGATTGATGGGAGAGGGCCCAGCCCATGATAGGTGGGGCCATCCCTGGGCTGGTGGTCCTGGGTTCTATAAGAAAGCAGACTGAGCAAACCATGAGGAGCAAGCCAGTAAGCACCACCCCATCACGGTCTCTGCATCAGCTCATGCCTTCAAATTCCTGCCTTGTTTGAGTTTCTGTCCTGACTTCCTCTGATGATGAACGGTGATACGGAAGTGTGTGTCAAACGCTTTCCTCAGGTTGTGGTGTTTCATCACGTACTAGAAACCCTATGACAACAACCCGAGGTACTCGTGTGTGTGTGTGTGTGTGTGTGTGTGTGTGTGTGTGTGAAAGAGAGAGAATGCATGTCTTGCTATGCTGCCCAGGCTGGCCCCTGAACCCCTGTGCTCAAGGGATCCATCTGTCTCCACCTCTGGAGTAGCTGGGACTCCAGACGTGTGCCACTGTACCAGACCTTCTGAGTTTTCCTCAAGCGTTTGTCTTTTCTTCCCGCCTCCTCAGGAGTGTCTGGAAGGAGGTGGTAATCCTGTGTCAGGTTTCTGTCCTGCCCTCTTTGGTTAGCTACCAAATCGCAGAGTTTAATCGCAGAGTTTAACAGATACCTACTTAATTCAATATTTCTTTCTTATTTCTGGCTGTTGAGTTACATCCAAAGAAATTCTCAAGTTCACCTTACAATGACAGTAGGCAAGAAGGCTGTGAAGTGGACCTTTTGAGGCCTCCTTGGGTGGTCAGTGACCATGGCCATTGTGATGGCTCTCAGGTAGCCAGTGGACTCCGGGTGGTTCTGGATCCTCACTTGTCTCATGGGAGGACATTGGTTTTCAACTACATCTATTTCCATAACTGTTTCAGAGCTCAGCAGGGCTTCAGACCGCTGGTCATTTGGGTATTGCTCTCCTTGCTCTGTCCAAGACACACAGCTTCGACACCACAGCAAACAGCACTGGGGTCAATTTCTAGTCACTTCTAAACAAACCTAGTGGCAAAAGTGCTGTCCCAACAGAGCAGAGCGGGGTGAACAAGCCTCCCGAGGTCATCTCCGGGGAAAGTCGCTGCAGCTAACTGACTGCCGGGCCCAGTATTGGGTGCTGAATCCCCTCTCTTCATGTTTCATCATTTCAGCACATACGGGAGAGAATGATGTCATGTCGCACAAATGCCAAAGTTGCCCTCTGGAGCGGCGACACCAAACATGGGCAGCGTGCCTAAGCCAAGTTTGCTTGGGCAAACACGCAGCCCTGTTGCTGAACTTGTCTTCTGAGTCAATGCTTCTTGGTCAGGTTTCATGGCGGTTCTGACCTGGAGATTCGATTTCTTTGAAGTTTTGAACTTCAAAGCTTCGGCAGAGGCCACACAAGATGCCTACGCCAGAGTGCCTCTATCGTGGGGGACAGGTACCCAGCTACTCAGATCCTTAGACAGTAATAATGGGAGCCTAGATTTTTATTATTATTATTATTGGCTCTAATGTACACTTCCTGGTGGGATGTTCGCCAGTTTCCCCTTGTCTGTTCCTCGGGTGAGGTGGTCAACAGTGAGTCTCAGTTCTCTGCACAGAGAGAGCCCTAGCCCTATTGTCTGTGCCTAACATGCATGACTGGCCCCTCTGCTGTCTGCAGGCCCCTGCTCTGAGCTGCTTGTCTGGGTGAGCTGTACTTCTCCTGCTAATTCACAGATTCTTCTCTGGTTCCACTTGGCATTGGGACAATGATGTACTATCCATAGATGGCCCCAGAAGCAGTTTAAATTGTGATTAGAGTCCTCAAAGACCGTGAGCGAGAGAAGTCGTTCAGTGAGTCCTGTGTTGACAACTCACAGATCACACGTGAGGAAAACTCAAAGATTCTTGGGTCTATACTCCTCCCACAATGAGCATCTGTGGAAGGCCGGTCACTTAAGGGTGGTCTCTGAAGACACATTAAGAGGGGCGGCAGAGATGAAACGCACTACATGAACTCTTTTTGCTAAACAACAACAACCTGAAATGTCACTGGGGACAGTTCTAGGCTGCTTGAAATCCCCACCAAGCCCCAGAGACCCTGGGAAATGCCAGTCTCAGAGGAGGCCAGCCTGGCCACAGATCAGAGAGAGGAGAGCAGCAGAGGCCCATGCATCGCTGGCTTAGCGATTGAGAGCGTCTGCTGCACATTCCGTTCGCGTCCCAGGTAACTCCCACCCGTGTGGAACTCCAGCTCTCCAGGGTCGGGGCCCCTCTGTGGCCTTCATGGATACCCGCACATGTAAATAAAGGTAAATAAATCAAAAAGGATACAACGTGAGGAGACAGGCTCTGAACCAATGACCAGTCACAGCCACACACAAGCGGCTTTCACATTCCATGAGCGACTACTCGATGTACCACACCGCATCCTAAGACTGGGACATGACGTTTGCGTTCCTGCGCCGGGAGGGTAAGCAAATACATTCGGGCCAAGGTTCGGCTAGCTCTGTGACAGAGCACAGACAAGCATTCAAGAGGCCCTGGGCAGGACCTCCAGCACCCCTAAAACAAACAAACATTCTGCCTTGCTTATCTAAAGCTCACATTTAACTGCGTTTCCTTTTTGTAGCGTTAATCTGATAACGCTAAGGGAGGCTAGCATGGTTACAAAGAGTTCTCGGATGCCTAGTCCAAAGCAACTGGAGAATTTAATAGAATTAAGGCAGGGCCCCTGAGGATGGACTCTCTCTTAGACTCAATCTCTCTCTCTCTTTTTCTCAATCTTGAACATGTGTTCAGATGATCCTAACACCACAAGATTTTTGGAAAGGATGCATCAAAAATAACCAGATTATTCTGGTGGGGGGGCTGTGAAGGATATTTTTCCTGTCTTCATAGAGAGAAACTATGGATTATGTCATCATCTCCTCCCTTGTTAAACCCCGGTGTGTGACTTTGTACTCTAGGGAGACCATGGTAAAGAATAATGGATTTGGGGAGGGTGAGGGCTCCCTCAGGCCTTGCTGGTGGGATAGTGAAGAGATACAGCCATTTGGAAAAGGGCCTGGCCATTCCTCCCAAGGTTAAGCACTGAGTTGTTGTGCGACCCTACAATCAATTTCTACAATTTAAGCGGTGAATTACACAGCACTGTAAGATACGGTGCTGCCAGGTAGTACATGGCAGTGTGCAGTACTATACAGTACCCCAGCGAAGCCGCTAAAAACCTGTGCGCATTGAGCATAAAGAAATCTTTGAAAAACAATTTTAGTAAAAATGTTACAAGCTGTTGTCTCCAAGTGCTTGATTCTGTTAAATTTCTGCCTGCTATCTTTCGGAGCAAACAAAGATTATTCATGAATACCCCTGTCTCCAACGGACATGGAGACATAGATCCATGCTGTACCAGGCTTATTCTTTTGGACCACCAACCAGTTCCTAAATCATGTTAGAGACTTATTATAGTGATGGATGCTCGGCCTTAGCGTAGGCTCATTTCTTATGACTCTGTATAACTTATAACCTATTCTCTTTATCTAAACTTTGCCTTGGGGCTTTCTCTCTCTCTCTCTCTCTCTCTCTCTCTCTCTCTCTCTCTCTCTCTGTCTCTCTTACTTTCACTACTTCTTTATGTCTGACTGGTGGCTGCCTAACTTCTGTCCCTGGGCACGTCCCTTGTTCTCTCTTCTCTTTCCTCCTCTCTTGTCTCTCTAGATTTCTCCTCCTATTCTCTCTGCCCCTGCCCCCAGCCCCACCTATCCCTCTCCTGCCTAGCTATCGGCCATTCAGCTTTTTATTAGACCAATGAGGTGCCTTAAGCAGGCAAGGTGAATCAAATACAACACATCTTTACATCATTAAACAAATGCAGCCGAAACAAATGTAACATATCTTTGCCTAGTTAAAATCACAGTCCACAACACTAGCAATGTGTTATCAACACAGCAGAAAGCTGAAACAACCTTAATGTTCATCAAGCAATAGGTGATTAAGTAAAATGTATACTGGTGTAACGGGGGAATGTGAAGAAGGAATGAACCGGGAGAGGTGGCACACTGTAGTAACCCCAGCTTTCCCGGGTTGAGGCAAAGATCAAGGTCAGGTGTGTCTTAAAATAAGCAGGAAGAAAGAGAAGGAAGTGGAAGAGGGAGAGGAGGAAGAGAAGGGGAAAGAGGATGAGGAGGAAGAAGATGAGGAGAAGGAGAAGGAAGAACAGGTTGCCACCGTGATGTGGGAGGGTTATGAAACCAGTGTTAGGTAAAGGAAGTCAGATACAGAAGGCCATATGTTATGAGTTCCATTCATGGGAAATGTCCAGAGCAGGCACGCATGCAGCAAGAGACAGTATAGATTAATGGTTGCCTAGGACCAGGAGGAGGACGGCGGATGGAAGAACTGCCAATGGGTGTAATGTTTCTTTTCAGAGAGACAAAAATGTTCTCACATTAATTGTGGGGCTGCTTGCACAGCCTTATGAATAAACCATGGACTCGTGTGCTTCCAAAGGGCGGATTTCATGGCATGACAATGAGGCTGTTAAAATCTATTTATGTGCACCAAGGCATAGAAAATTCTTTGGGAAGTGGGTTTAGTCAAAATATTATTCTAATAGTTGTCTCAAATTGCAGGATTATATGAAATTTCTTGTTGAGGGCTTCCTGCCCTCTTTTGCAGTATGCAAAGATTGCACTTGGATATAAGAGGGAAACAGAACAAACTTCCTTACCTGCTTCGGGAAAGCTTTTAACATCTTCAGCTCCGAGGACTTTCACAGGATGGCCCCACCCCACCCCACGGCAGACATATTAAAACATACCCAAGCCTCCCACTTTCCATGGAATTTTTGCAGATAACGCCGTTGGGATTGGCCAGGTTTGTTCAGACAACTGCCAGGCAAACTTGGGAGTTTGTGTTGGTGAGGGAAGAGAGTGCGCGGAGATCAGAGCACAGCTCTGTGAGGAGTCCTCCACCCGGGCCTGAGCCCCAGGGATCAAGCTCGTCTTTTGCAGACAGCAACTTCACTCACCAATGGCGTCTTGCTGGCCATGGAAGAGACTGTGTTATGAATTCTAAATTGCAAAATAATGATCTCTGTAAGCACTTCATGTTGCAAGTACGTACACTGTCTTTACTTTTCAGGGGTTTTGTTTGTGGATTACACTGGAGATGCAATCCCAGCATGCTAGACCAGTGCTTTGGAATGAGCTTCTGCCCCAGCCTGGCTGTTTTGGTTTTTATTTTTTGAGCCTCCAGGTGGGCACTGGGAACCAAACTCAGGTCCTTTGCAAGAGCAGCAAGTGCTCTTAACTGCACACCATCTCTCCAACCCCATTCCTGTGTCCCTGTGTCTTAAGAGCTGAGACCTTGTAGCAGACAGGCTTTGAAGGTGCGTCCACGAGCAAAGCCTGGTGGATGCTCGGGAGCTGGGGGATGTGGAAGCCTGAGTAGGAAGGCCCCATTTCTGCTAACAACGCAGATCAAATCTGTCACCAGGCTGGCTTGGTAGACCCTTAGCATTTCAGCTGAAGGGGCTGCTTCCCTCCCTTCCTCCCACTTCCTCCCTTTTTGTTGGTGGTTGACGGGAGTGATCCCAGGCCTCCCCCTAGGCAAGCCTTCCACCTTGAGTCATATCCACCACCCGAGGCTAAAGCTTTTGTCACACTCAAGAAAACACAAAACAACCTAATGGCTTTGCCTGCTAAGAGAATGGATTGTGAAATCTATCCCCCAGCACTTAGGAGCACATTCATGGGGCTGGAAAGATGGCTCAGGGGTTAAGAATGCTTGCTGCTGCTCCAGAGGTCCAGCGGTCTGTTCCCTGCACCCGTGTCTGGTGGTTCAGAGTTTCTTGTATCTAACTCTGAGGAAACCAGTGCCTAAATCTGGCCTCCAAGGGAGCACACCAAAACCATGTCTTTGGATGGCCACGTCCTGTCAGCTTTCTGTTACCATAGTTCTGGAGTTAATTAATATAGAGGGGGACAAGTATCATCTCGACTCAGTATAGTTCTGTCCCCAGCCTGTTGAACCGGTGTGAGGCGGACCATCATGGCAGGACGCTTGGTAAAGGGGAGCTGGTTTTCTGCCTGTGGCCAGAAGTGAGTGAGAGAGGGAGGCCAGGGCAGTGACCTCCTCACGGCCCATACGTCCCTCCTCTCCCCTCCCCACTCCTGAAATCTAACCTCTCTTCCACCTCTCCTCCGAGCCCACTCCTTAAAGGGTCTTCCACTCCCAGTAGCACCCTGAACCAGGAGTAAGCCTTCAACACACAAACTTTTTGGGAATATTCCAGATCCAACAGTTGACTCCTGGGTCATGACGGACTCCTTGTATACATGGTATTTAGTAGGAGCCCTTCAGAGACCATGTGCTGTTGGCTCCGTGGCCGTTACTCTCTCGCTCCAGCTAATGGAACACACCAGCCTCGGTTCTCCAGGTGATGCCCATGGTTTCTGATAAGCCACAGTGAGAACTTTGCCAAATCAGCCACAACTGATCATGCTCACCCCCTCCACATCCCCACCTGCCATGTGCAGAGGTCCAGGCTCCCAGGGAACCTTCCTTCTCAGGCAGCTTCTGTTCTCCCCTGACCTTTGGTCTCTTGTCACATAGGAGATACCTAAACAGACTTCTTTTAATTATTTTTTTTAAATCAACATTCAAAATAATCATTTTCCTTAAGACATTTTCACATATGCTTTAAAAACTGGTACCGCGCCCGCACGGTCTGGAACGACGAGTCTCGGCGGAGGGTGTCCAGGTTGAATGAATCCACAGAGCACGAGGTTGAGGTGGAACAGCAGCTTCTTTATTGTTCTGCTGGGGCTAGCTTTTATACCATGGCACCAAATGAGGAGGGGGCTGCGAAGGGACTGTAACCTGACCTCAGCAGGGATCAAGGAACGGTCACCATGCACTTAAAATTCCTTTCCCAGTTCCAGGAGCAGAGGGAATTTATTATGTTTTCTTTGCAGATAAGCACCTCAAATGGGGGCAGGGATAAGTAACTCAGGGCTGCAGTTCCCACAAACTGGGGCTGGAGAGATGACTCAGCGATTAAGGGCATTGGCTGCTCTTTCAGAGGCCCGGGTTCGGTTCCCATCACTGACATAGCAGCTCACACCCACTTATAACTCCAGTTACAGGGAATCTCAAGGCCCTTCTGACCTCTGAGGGTGCTACACCCCTGCAGTACAAGACATACATGGTACACAGATGGATGTACATGCAGGTAAACCACCCATACATATAAAATCAAAATAAGTAGCTAAATGTCTCTGTGTGTCTGTCTGTGTGTGAGGGAGTGTGCATGGGCGTGGAGCACCACGTCTGTCTGTGTGTGAGGGAGCGTGTATGGGCGTGGCACACCACGTGGCTAGAGACAGACAGCAGCACCATCTCTATGTTTCCCATTCTCCCCATTCCTATGTGCCTTTCCTACCATTGACTGTGTCTGAATAATTAATTTTATTTATAAAGATTTATTTTATGATTTTTTTTAAAAACTACACATGTAATTATGTGGGTGTGTGCATGGAAGTTCAGGTGCCTCTAGAAGCCTGGGGTCTCAGATGCCCTGGAGCTAGAGTTGTGAGCCTTCCAGCATGGGGGCTGGAACTAAACTTGGGTCATCTGCATAAGCAGTACGTTCTCTTAACTACTGAGCCTTCTCTCCAGTACCATGGATAATTTACCATATATGTCATATATATACACTTATGTGTCATATATATACACATATTTGAGACAGGGTTTCTCTGTACAGCCCTGGCTGTCCTGGAACTCATTCTGTAGACCAATGTAAACAGAGATTGCTCATATATTTCTTGGCCATCCAGACCCAAATAAACACACAGAAACTATATCAATTGCACCACTGTTTGGCCGATGGCTCAAGCATATTCCTACCTAATAATAGGTAATATGCTACCTAACCTATCTAATCTTAACTTAACCTATTTCTACTCATCTGTGTATCACCACGAGGCTGTGGCCTACCGGTAAAGTTCCAGCATCTTTCTCCTTCAGCAGCTACTTGACTTCTCCCTGACTCCATCTTCTTTCTTCCTGTATTTAGTTTGGTTTTCCTGTCTGGCTTTATTCTGCCCTGCCATAGGCCAAAAGAGCTTCTTTATTGAAGGACCCCAACTCGTTTTAACCACAGTTATACCGTTTTGCAAAGGTTCACAGATAACAAGCTCAGTTCAGGACCTCCGGAATGCTGAGCAGATAACAAGCTTAGTTCAGGGCCTCTGGAATGCTGAGCAAAGATACCTGAGGTTAGAGCAAGGACAGCCTTATCTGGCTGCAAGACAGGGGATTTATGGACTGGCCATAGAAACAAAGAAAGAGAGGATTGCGAGGCCTGAGTCACGTATAAAGCGGGGCTCATCACGAGTCAGGGGCTGTGCAATCAGACATCTGGTCGCAAGCCAGGAAAGGGGGACAGGATAAGAGGAGCAGTAAACCGCTGAGTAGTCCCCTCATTGTTATTTAGGTTAAGAATTTACCACCCCGCATCTTGCTTCTGTAAACCTCGCTTTTTGCTCTCCTATAAGAACCCCTCACCCCCAACCTGCGGGCGCGCAAGTCCTCCGAGAGACTTTGTCGCCCCAGGTACCTGCGTATCCAATAAACCTCTTGCTGTTTGCATCTGGCTGCGTGTTTTCGACTGATCTTTGGGCACGGGGTCTCTCCCGAAGGAAGACGCCCTCGGGAGTCTTTCATTATTACTCAGTGGTAATAAAATATATTCATAAGGTACAGAGGGGAATCCCACATCATCTCCCCTTTTTTGCCTAAATGAAAAGGAAGGTTTAATCTTTTAACATAGTAACATTACATTTAACAAAACAGGTATCAAAAAAGAATTACAGTTACAGTATTTCTTTATGGAGTCTAAAGTTTCATATCTAATTTATCTTTTATCATAACTAAGTAAAACAATAACTATCTGTCTTCAAATCCACCAAAGACCCCAGAAGGATCTACTATTACCTAAGTAAACAGGAAGTGCATTGTAAGCAACTTCCAAAACTCTAGAATTGACAGAGACATTTCACTGTCTAGACAGTCACCCAAAGTTCTTTTGTAACATTGGGGCATCCATCTTGAGCCTACAGGCCCATAGTATCTGGCAGACTTTTCCTTGAAGCAGAAAATTTGGAAGACTGTTTCATCTATATTGGCAGTTTGCCAGTCACTTTCTTCTGTGTCCTGAAGAATATCTGGCAGACTCATTTATGAATCAGGAACCCTGAAGGACTGTCTCACCTTCTTTAGGCAAGTTCAGAACTCAAGTTTTTGTGAGTCCTGCATGTCCAGTTCATGCATCATACTATTAAGCAGTCCAGGCAAGAGCAGTTTCTTGCCCAAATGACTAGCCTTGTCACATTGAAGGCAAATTCCATAACAAGTTTCTTCAATGCCCATCAACTTCTCTGAAGTAATTGGTGCTGCCAGAAGCAGACTTGTCTCACTGTTGAGAAAAGTCTAAGTTCTTAAAACCTTTTAAATGCCATATTCTGTAGTCTTTGAAAGGTTTGAAGAATACCTGTTCATCTGAAATAACTAACATGACTGTGGGAATTGCAGCCCCAAGTTACATATCCCTGCCCCCCATTTGAGGTACTTATCTGCAAAGAAAACATAATAAATTCCCTCTGCTCCTGGATTTGGGAAAGGAAATTTGAGTGCATGGTGACCGTTCCTTGATCCCTGCTGGGGTCAGATTATAGTCCCTTCACAGCCCCCTCCTCATTTGGTGCCATGGTATAAAAGCTAGCCCCAGGAGAACAGTAAAGAAGCTGTTCTACCTCAACCTTGTGCTCTGTGGATTCATTCAACCTGGACACCCTCCGCCGAGATTCTTGGTTCCAGCCCTTGCTGGTGCGACACATGACTACAAGTTTGACTATTATAGATGACTATCTATTAATCCATAATTTTAAATTATACACTATATTTTTAAATAAGCTGTATAAACATAATACCTTAAACAAGAGTAGAAATATACATATAACAAAACAGACATTAAATTTGTATCAATAAACCAAGATCCATACCAATGCCAATTATTCATTTCTCTATCATAGCCCCCTTTAAATAAAAACAAACACTTATAAACAATATTTAGGAAATTTGGGCATAGTTTTATCTAAACTGTTTCATGTTGTTTGTTAAGCAAAGTATTTTTAGGGTTACAGAGACCTTTCATGGGGGGATGTCTTGTTCTATCAAACCACACTAGCCTGGAAAGAATCCACAGATTCCCATTCTCTGTGGAAACAAAAGCAGAACCTCTTTTCCAAGGTAACTTATCTTTAGACTCTAATTTTCAAGTAAAGATACCTTTAAAATATATATGTTGGTTTAGCTTAACAGCCTATACAATGAAATGTCTCTCTGTGCTTAGTTCATTCACAGTCAAAAAGTTTAAAGAAAACACAATAGCATACCTAATCCAGACTCTTTGTGTATTTCCCATCTTTATGTAGCTTTTTTACTCTATTACTTTTTAATATTTATTTTATCTTAATTCCTTTAATCTATGACTGTCTGTAGTCTTTCTTCTCTCCTAAGTTCATGTACATTTATCAGAGGTCTTTTATGTCTGAATCTGTCTTATTGCATATTTGTAATCATTTTCTTCTTAAGCTTTTTTTGTAGGTCTTATGTGGATTCATGCCCCAGATGGTGGGTGCCATTTGTAAATGGAGACTGCTTGTAAGTTTCTCAGCCACCCAGATCTACACAAATATTCACACAAAAATATCAACTACAACACTGTTTGACCAACGACTCAGGCCTGTTGCTAGCTAGCTCTTATGTCTTAAATTAATCCATTTCTATCCATATGTGTATCACCAATAGGCTGTGGACTACCGGTAAGGTTCCAGCATCTTTCTCCTTTGGCAGGTACATAGTGCCTACCTGGTTCCACCTTCTTTCTCCCTACATTCAGTTTAGTTTTCCCACTTAGCTCTATTCTGCCCTGCCGTAGGTCAAAGCAGCTTCTTTATGAACCACTGGTGATAAAACATATTCACAGCATAAAGAAGGCCAGCCTGGTCTATGCAGAGAGTTCAAGACCAATCAGGACTGCACAGTGAGACATTGTCTCAAAACAAAAACAAACCAAAAACCTATAGGGTGGTGGTGTTGCATACCTTTTAACAATCCAGGACTGTCTCAAAAACAAACAAATAAATAAAAACAAAACAAACTTTTTAAAAAGCCCCTGAGTGGTGGTGGCCATGCACCTTTAATCTCAGCATTCAAGAGGCAGAGGCAGGCAGAACTCTGTGAGTTCAAGGCCAGCCTGGTCTACAGAGTAAATTCCAAAATAGCCAGGGCTGTTACACAAAGAAACCCTCTCTCAATCAATCAGTCATCAATCAATCAATCAAGTATCCAGCTGTATTTCTGAAGGGATAGGCCAATAGAAACAGGCTGCTAAACTGACTCATGGCGTTTGGACCCTTTAAAGCCACACACAGGTTCAAGAATCAGATGGAGCTGAGGTAGACACTAGATCTTGTCCTAAAGCTACACAAACATTAGAACCAAGGATAGATTTCGAGTCACTCTATGCAACTGTGCTGTAGACAGTGGGGTAAGACAGCCTTCTCCCCGGGGCATTCTCCACAACCTCGTGAGGTACCGACTCCCCAGGTTGTGTGAGAATGCCCCAGAGAGAAGGCTGCAGGACCTCCACACAGTGAGCTGAAGCGTGCTTGCTGTCACTGCCACCGTTGACTTGGTGCCTGTTCTCAAGATGACAGAGAGGAAAGAA